TTATTTGGTTTGACTGATGCTGCTGAGGAGAAAGGGTTGTTTGGATTGTGCTTGTGCAGGAAACTTACAGGGGAAGAACATTTCAGTCGTGACAACATAAATTTACAAAGGCCAGCGAAACAAATGAGAACGTCAGGAGCAGATTTATCTCGCTGAGGCAAGGTTTATCTGAGGAAGTCTGAAGCAGGTGTGACGAAACCGCCTATATCACAAGCTAGCTGGATGGCCTACTTCACGTACAAGCAAGCCTTAATTATTCTGATAGCTGCCTTTCCTTTTTAAGTCTGGACATTTATTTGACAATGGTTATTTAATGAAACTCCAAAAAGCATGCAAAGCCCTAGGAGAAATTTCCTTATAAATAACCAGCCGTAGCTCCCAAAGAAAGGGGACAAGGAAGAAGAGAGAAGAACTTTACCAAAGGTGTGAGCAAGCAACTTCAGTACTTCTTCACCATCTACCCACCGACCTTTCGTACTGTCCTCCATAACCAGACGTTAGAAGAGCGGTGATCAGGCCTCGAGAGAGGGTGATCACCAAGACAGGCGTAGTGCTGATCAGAATCGTCACGACAGAGCCCCCAGTTTTGGGAGTCGTTCCTTTGTTTAACTCTTTATCTATTTGGGGTTGTACTAAACGTTAAATTTTGGATGATCTTTGATACCACCATGAATGTCTTACTTGATTTTAAACTTTGTGTTTCCTGAACAATATTTTTATGTTTTATGAATGATGAATTATATTTTGCTTATGACTATTTTGCTTACTTTTAAATATTTTTTCTTAACACTGTAAGAGCATCGAGAGATTGTCTGGGGTTTTGGTAAAGCATGTATTGGCAATATAAGAGTATCGAGAGATAGTCTTTTGTCTATATAAGGATTCTTATATTAGAGAGAATTAAGATAGATCGACGTAAGCAATATAATGAATCCGGGATGGTGAAGTTCTAACTTGTCTACCTTAGAGATAAGGAGTGGTTTCAATCGACTAAAAGAGATAGACGCTAGAGTAGGATAGACAATGCCTATAGTTTACACTGAAAGGTATTGCTACAATAATGGATTGTAGTTAACGGTGAGGAGTATTGCCATAGCAACCGTCTAAGAATACCTAGTAATCCTGTCGGGCAGCTTGAGCAAGTCATAATAATTAATTCTAGACTTAGAAATAATTGTTGACAATGCAAGGGTTTAGCATCAGTGCTCTGTGATATGTCTGAATATATGAGGTTGTTTGCATTCGATTTAAATCAACACTTATCTTGTTTTATTTACTTTAGTATTCTGCATATTTATTTTGTCTCGACCAAACTTTCATGTAATCATTAAACTACCTCTTTGTTTTATTAATATTAGAACTTAAGCTGGCAACTTAGTATGACTTAATTTGTGACATTAGTTCTAGTTATGGTGAAAATATATTTCTCAACCACTATGGAGACGATACTCACTTACCCTATATTACTTAAATCGATTGTGTATACTTGCACATATTTGCTTGCCTTAACATATACATTTACAAGCGATCAATAATATAGTATCTGCAGAGGGCATAAAAGTGGATCCTAAAAAGATTCAAGCTATAGTGGATTATCAACCCTTAAAGAATGTTTATAAAGTTCAATGTTTCTTGGGGCTCGCTGGTTATTATAGTAGATTTGTGATAAATTTTTCGATGCTAACTCTACCCCTAACTAAATTATTACGGAAGGATGTGTCTTTTATTTGGACAGAAAGATGTCAGAAAAGTTTTGATACACTCAAAAGAATAGTAACAGAGGCTCCAATTCTTGTGCAACCTGAGTCAGGTAATGATTATGTCATTTTCAGTGATGCATCTTATAACGGATTGGGATGTGTGCTGATGCAATAAGGGAAAGTTGTGGATTATGTCTCAAGACAGGTGAAGAATCCTGAAAGAAGTTACCCAACGCATGATTTGGAAATGGAAACTGTAGTGTTTGCTTTGAAAATCTAGCACCATTACCTATACGATGAGCGTTGCCATGTTTACACAGACCATAAAAGTCTAAAGTATTTTTTACTTATAAATAACTAAACTTAAGGAAGAGAAGATAGATCGAGCTCCTAAAGGATTATGATTTGGTTATTGACTATCATATGGGAAAAGCTAATATGGTAGCAGATGCGCTCAGTCGAAAGACTTTTGCAGCTTTAAGGTCTTTAGATGCATGTATCTATTTAAAAGAAGATGGTGCTTTAATTGCCGAATTAAAGTTAAGGCCGATTTTTTTGACCGGGTTAAAGAACTGCAAGGTAGAGATAAGAAATGATTAATGTAATTGGCGCAAGTCGATAAATGAGAAGCCAAAGATTTCAAAATTTGGGATAATGGATGCTTATATTACCAGGGAAGACTTTACATTCCTGATTATGAAGATTTGAGGAGAGATATTCTTTGCGAAGCTCATTATAGCCCTTTAACTATGCACCCAGGCGGTAATAAGATGTATCAAGACTTGAAGAGTTGTTATTGGTGGCCTGGCATGAAAAAAACTGTCATAGAGAATATTGCCAAATTTTTGACATGACAACAAGTGAAAGCTGAACATTAGGTGACATATGGTTTATTGCAACCTATATCTATTTTTGAGTGGAAGTGGGAGCGAGTAACAATGGACTTTGTTTTAGGGCTACTGTTGCCACTAGGTAAAAAGGACTTGATTTGGGTAATAGTAGACGATTGACCAAAACTCTTCAAAGTTAAAGATAAATTGATTTTGAAATTAAAAGTCAATTTTGAAAATCAAAATGAAATTTTGAAAAATGATTTGGAGCTTTTAAAAATCAAAATAAATTATTTAGAAAAAGTAAATTTTAATTTAAATGTTAAGCATGAAAGCTTAAGAAAAGAAAAAGAATTAATTTAAAAAAACAACCTATTACGTATAGAATTGATAAAAACCTCATATTATCATTTTCATGGTCACTAGGAACATACTTGTCCTTTAAAGAAAGGAAAACGTTTTAAAATTAGACAAGTATGGTTTCCTAAGGGAACAAGGGGCATTGGAACTAATGTCCAAGGATCCAAAGCAATTTGGATACCAAAATCCAAATAAATATCTCTTGTAGGTGTGTAGCAGCAATGGTGATGAAAATGATGATATTCAAGATGCTCTAGCCACACATGAAAAAGGAATGGGTAACCGCTAAGCTTAATGCTTTTAATTTTGGTTATTTGGTTGCTCATTTAATTTTAATCATGCATGAGTTTTTGTTTTAAATGATTATGCATTATTATTTTAATCCCATGTATGTTAAAAATGTTTTATGATGAACATTTTAAAGTTTAAATGAATTTTTATAATTTGTAGTTCATCATAATAAAATTTTGGTCAAAATTGGTTTTAATACAAATGATATCTCTTTAACAATTGATATCAACTTTTCAAATACTTTGATTTTAAATGCAAATGATATCTCTCTAACAATTGATATCAAAATTTTAAATTTTTTACCTAAATTTAAATGTTTATACATGTACTTAAAATTGTATAAGATATCTCTCTAAAAATTGATATAAAATTTTTTAAATGCATAAAAGTTTTCTAAAAAGTTTTATGCATATGCACTTAATTTCAACAATTGATATTGCATAAAGTATTTTAGACTTGGATACATTGAATTTCATGTACTACTAACATGTTTATGATTCTTTGTTGAAATTCAATTTTGGTTAAGTGTCAAGTTCTTAAAGCTAAATTTTGTTTGAAATGCATTTATTGAGGGGGAGCTTTGATTTTTCAAATGATTTTTTAAATTTCAAATTTGCCACTTACTCTCCAAAGTTATTTTGAACTTTAAAGGTTGAATAATTTTTTATGTAACAAAAAGGGGGAGAAGTATGGTTTGATTCAATTTCTTAATGAAAAAGGGGTAGCTTAACATTTTCATATATTTTCCAACAATTGGTAACAATTGGTATCTTTTTAACAATTGATATCCTTTTGTAAACAATTGGTATCTTTTTCATTAAACATTTTATTAAGGGGGAGTTTTGCCTAAAACAAATTTTCAAATGTTTTGTTATATCAAAAAGGGGGAGATTGTTGAACTAAGTTTTGATATAACAATTATGGAAAAATGTTTTTGGACTTAAATTTAATTTATTTAAAGTTTTCAAAAGGTTTCAAAAATAATTAAAATTCCATTAAATTCGGATTTGAGCAAAAATATTAAGAGGTATTGATACCCCTATAAATGGGTAACAATACCATGGATATTGATACCCTTATGAATTGGTATCAATACCCCTATGACTTCTCAAACATCGAATGCAATTTTGGTATAGATACCCTTGCATGGTATCGATACCCCAAGGCTCCAACGGCTAGCAACGACTAGTTAAATTTGAATTTAACAAAGGTAGTCACTACTAGAAAAAACCCCTTTAATGGCGCGCATTACGCGTCATCTATGGGTGCAGATGACACACAAATTCATTTCATTGAAGCCACTGACATATATATCAAATGACTCATAATTGTGTGTCATAAATCTATGACGCGCATTTATGACACACATTTATGACTCACATTTATGAAACGCATTGAGCGTCATTAAAGCCCCCGTCATAAATTAAGATGACACACATTTCTGTGTCCTAAATTTATGACACGTATTTATGACTTACATTGCCTTTCATTGAAGCCCCTGTCATAAATGAAGATGACACACATTTGTATGAGTTACATTCATGTGTCGTGATTGTATTTCATAAATTATATATATATTGTAGATTGACAAATAATCAAACTAAATCACATTTAATGCCTCATAATACTAAATATATATATCATATTATATATAAGCAATCCATTTGTATACAATATATTCACACTACAAATAGTTTACAATAAACGATTAGTCAAAGAAAACAAAGAAAATACGAAATTGAGAAAGAACATATAACCATTATATATATACAATAATGCACTTTGTTTCCAAATACTTAGAGCTTTGAGCATCTAGATAAAAAGCCACAGATATGTGCAAATAGGCAGTGTTGCCAAACCTGTATTGACAACAACAAAAAAATAAGGATGCTTAGAATATGCAAAAACAATATCAACAAAAGGTAAGAAAAATAAAACAAAGATGTTAAAATATTGCACATCCAGTACATAATAAGCTCCATATCGTATAAGCAATTTGCAGCCTATAGCATAAACCTTTTGGCAACTCAACAGCTTAAATGCATTTAAAATTTAATTTTCATTAAAATTATAAGAAAAACAAATTAGTGCTGTCAAAACCAGTTTCAGGGCAAGGCATTAAGATATGAAAACACAGAGCAAGACAAATGGCAGTAATTCAACAAATTAGGATCCTGCTTAATTAAGAAACTTCATTATGCAGAGAAGGCAACTTGACCACTCCACGAAACCCCCTTAACTTTAGTTCAAGTTTAAGAAAAAAATAAAAGATAAAACAATACATGTAGCAGGTATGTATTTTATACTTAAGCAATACAAGTTTAGAAAGCAGACAGATCATTGAGGAACAATATTATACTTAAAACAAAAAAGAGTCTGAAACAAGCAACAAGTTCACAAGTAATACTCTGTTTTCAGTCTCGGCAGGGTTTTCAAGCAGTATGTATTTTTTACTGACACAAGTTACTCATTACATAACACAAACCACACCATAATAAGGAAAACACTACACCACACACCAAACACAAATTCCAGTAATACCACAGTTAAATACTTACCAAAGACTTGATGCAAAGAAGCCACTTATAGGTATTACACATGTTGCATATCTACAACACCGAGAACATTTGTTTAGGAAAGAGAACATCGATACTGTAGCTAAGCAGTAATTGAGAATAATAACAGCTATTTTAGATAAAGAATAGCACTTACATTTCAAATGTCATTTTAACAAGAGCTACAACCTACATGGCAAGATTGAGGGAGAGGGAAATGCATTACAAAACTAGGAAAAACAATGGAAGATGAAGCTTACATAGGAAAATAATATATATGCTCTCAAATTTATTTTTCGCCTCTGTAGGTAAAATACAAAGCACAAAAAAAACACAATAGATCTTTAGTTTCAGGTCATAAAGAGACCATTAAGTTCTGGAAATGGGGACAATGTAACCAAAAAACACATTTTATTGTGGTAAACTTAATTAGCATTCATACAGGTAGTTGCATTTGCATATATTGTTGAGACGGGAGTATGTGTATGTATGATATGACAGATGTGTATATGATACAAGAAATGTTTATGTATGATAGTTGCAGTCTTTATTCTACAAGAAAATATACTAGTCCATATGATAGTTGTATGACTAATGTGTATGTATGATGTGACAGATGTGTATCAGAAAAGTTTTCTTACATTCTTATTGACCAGCACTTCAAGTCCGTTCTCGACTATGTCTTTTAGTATTCGAAGCATTATTACCTTGCATCGAGATTCAACAACACAAGTTAAAGCACTATAGGAACGAGAACTTTCAGCATTGATACTAGTCACGCCTGTCCTTCTACTTGATAATCCCAACATCATTCATCCAACATCTTATTACTGGAATAAATGGTCTAATCCATTTCTCTCAAGCTTGAGCTACTTGAGTGAATCAAGATTGAGTACTTTAATTAACTAACGCTTAAGGCTCTCCGCCCTTCATTTTTAATATAGTCAATATTTATAAAAGAAACTAATAAATGGATAAAATATAGTGATTAATATACATATTAACAAATTATCAAAAAAAATCAAATCCAGCAAGTTGAGCTTGAGTGTCTCGAGTGAATTACAAGAAGGATTCAAGCATGACAAATGAAGCTCAGTCAAGCTTAATCCAAATTTAAAGTCTCAAGATTTCTTATAAAGCCGACTTTGAGCTTGGCGATGTATCAGTTCGAATCAGATCAATTATATCCCTAATCATAGCACACATGAATAACTGACTAAGCAACCTTTTTTCTTATATAGTAGTCAAAGCTCCTATATTTTGTGTACTATTAGTTTCACAACTTTTTTTTTTACTAATCCTTCCTTTCAGCAAGAAAAAGCTAAAGTAGAAAGGGTGGATATCAGTTTAATCTGTATACACATTATATGTACAAAACATAGTGGAATACCATCATAAAACTTCTAACAGTAGAATAAGGCTTCACAAAAATTCAAATTTTAAAGTATTATGAAATCTTAGTTTAGTCTAAAATTTGAGTTCTCACCCCAGATACAATACCATTTTCAACTTTCTGTAAAAGAGATTCCATGTGTTGAGACTGTTCACTCAGAAAACAAAAATGAAAGAAACGGATGAATCCGCAGGAGGTGCACTGTAAAGAAATGAAAGCAACAGATCGGGTCTTGTATTGGAGGAAGAAAGTGAAGAACATGACATGAAAAGAAGAGTTTGATAATGCACATCATGCAATTCCTTCCTCAAGGAAGAAAGAGGTGACAAAGAGCCGTCTTTATGAAAATATAGTTTATGGTTACTGTAATCATTAGTCAAGGGACACAGATAATAAAACTCAAAAGAATCTGGCCTAAATTATACTTAAAAAAACCCTCAAAGCAGCCTCATGGTCACACATAAAAAGTTAATATTTAAAATTGACCGGTTCAGAGAGATTTAGTAAAAGAAACATGATGTCATGAGAAATGATTCAAGCACAATGACATAATCTTGAACGGGTAGTTGAAGAAATAGGGAAAAAGAAACTAAATAAGAAAAATATTTCAACTAAAAAGTAAAACAATGATATCTTGAAAATATTCTCGTGTTGTGGTGTTATGTGGTCAACCATGTTCATACCCACTCTCTGAGCACAAACGGGGAATACCTGCAATTATAAGCGATATAGATTAAATGATCTTAGACATCATTTACATCTAAACTACAATTAAAACTAAATAATCTTTAAGTAACCCGATGATTCAGAGATTCAATAAGAATTCCTTTTGGTAAAGTCAACACTAAACTTGTTCTTCTCTAACAGAAGACTTCATATCATGTAATAAGTATATATTAAGGAAAGTTCTGTTAACTATAATTTACACTGATAATGTACAAAGTCTTAACTCCTGCCAACAAACCAACACATATACAAAAGAGAGAGGGAGAGAGAATATGGTCTCCCAACTTCAATAAACGACACCAAACTACATAAGCTTATAGGGCCTCTAGATTATGAATGAATGTCAGTTTCAAAAATGCGATAATTTTGTTGTGCAGCCGGGAAACCTAAGGCTAACTTGCGTTGGATTTTATCCTAAAATGTTTAACTGTTTACTCTAAAAAGTTAAACAATTGGCAATAATCTTGGTTGCAACCGAGAATTTTACATTGCGGCCAGTTTTAACCAAAAATGGTACTATGTCTACTCTAAAAAATTACATAATTGGTAATAATTTTGGTTACAACCGAGAATGTTACATGAGTTTCTTTACCAACTTTTTAGATTGGAACCATAATAGTTATGCAATTTACATTATTTGTAACGGAGAACGTAATATTTTTTGGTTACAACCTAAAATGTTACCCAGTTTACTCTAAAGAGTAACACACTTGGTAAGTCTTTCGGTTACAACCAATTGCAGCCTTTTCTTAGCCTTATATTAACTGGTTTTATTTTAGAACCCCTAAAAAATGGGTATTATGTATAGACTAATAATAAAAGCCAGATTGCCATTAAAAGCATGAAGATGAGAACAAAAATTGTCCAGTAGCTTTAGCAATCATTTATTCACTAACAGTGAGTGAATAAATTAAAAGTCATAAAATTTGGGCAAGAATGATGAAGCCAATGATAATCATATAAGCTTCCATGGGTAGAAAATAACAATTTAAGCCAGACAAAATTGCAAGATGTTAGAAAGTGTTCATAAATTGAGTGACACTAGTTTGATAATACTGAATAAGAATGAGGGAAAGGAATCGAGTAATTCAGTTCTGATAACATCTATTCATCAATCTAAGTTCCCAGATGGATTACCAAAAACTGTCCAATACCTGATTCTCTTCCCTCAAGTGGCAAAGGCATTGCATTGTAAAAGGGATCCGTACAACATAATTCAAAGAGTTGACCGAGTTTGACATTCTTTTACTGGGTAAACTTATGCACATACACTAATAGACCCCCCTTGTCTAACCATTTTTGACCGTCGATTACCAAACTAAAGAATATCCGGGAAGTGTAAAACATTCCTTAAATATCATTTCTAACAATCGTTCAAAACAAAAGAAAAATTCACGCCTAACAACAAATCCAAAAAGGGCTTAGTGCATACCCCATACCCAGCTTCAAGATTATGCTCCTCGTCGATATGGCAGCACAATCCAAGTAAATAAAAATCCTCCGAACAGTACAGGAAGGGGTATTCCGTCATCAATTCATCATCTTCTTCAATCTCTTCAAAATCAATAGAAATATCTGCTTCCAAAATTAATAACACCCCATTCGGTAACCGCATAAAATCCGGAAAACAAAAACTCAAAATCAAAAGCAACAAAAAATAAACAAATAAAATGCCAACCACTATGGGATTTAAGAGTGGATTGATAGCTCCTAGATGAAGCTGAGAAGGCAAAGCTCCAAGTATCATCCTCCCCTGAAACTTTTAGATAACGCTCTAAACTGCAGGTTTGTTTGGATTTTGGAGGGGTAGGGTTTGGGGAAGATGCATTCTCCATCTGATCACTCAATATCATGTTAACATGAATGCAAAGAGAAAAACGAAAACATAGGTTTAGTGTGAAGGGAAGAAGCGGGAAAGGATGAAAATTATGGGGGAAAATTAAAAGACGACTTTTACATATGACACACAATTAAAAGTGTACTCCGTGTTTTTACAAATTTTTTGAATTGTGACTATTAAATATGACACACATTATTGTAAGTCATAAATCATTCAAATTTTAAGAAACATGACATTTTTTATGACACATTTTTTGCAAGTCATAAATTAGTGTTTGTCATCGTTCGTGTGTCATTAAAAGTATATTTTCTTATAGTGAGTACCGATACCCCTGTGTTTGGATAGCCTTGGTTTGCAGAAAAATAATCCTCAAACAGCTCCAAAACATCCCCAACGGTTATATACAACTTTAAACTCATTTCAAGCTATAAATGCAAGCTGAGGACTCTTGAAGAAAGAAGAGAACAACTATCCAAGCAATCAAACACAAGAGAAGAGCTTTTCAATCTTATTTCATCCTCTCTTGTAAATATTTTTGTTCTTGTGAACTTAATTCTTGTAAACACCTACCTTATAGAGATTTTCTTGTTTACATTTCCTTTCATTGTAAAGGGGTTTTGGTTCTAGCTAAGCCTTCTAAAAGATAGGGAAAGGTTCTAGTTTAACCCATGAAAAACTAGGGAGATTGTAAAGGTTATCTCTTTGTCCTGTAATAAGAAAGAACAAATTAGTGAATTTGTTGGAAAATCCTTGGTGAGGACCTAAGGTAGTGGATGTAGACTTGGTTAAGAAGTCGAACCACTATAAATAGTTGTGCAATTCTTTATCTTTCAATCTCCTTACTCCCTAAACACAAAAATCGATCCCAACCCTCTTTGCAAACCATTCCAGTTATCGATTCGAGCTTCCGCAAATCCTCACTCTCGATGAATTGATTGGTTCCCTTCTCACTCATGAGATGATGTTCAAAGAATGAGGTAGGCATTGTTTTCAAATCCACCAATGAAAACTATCAAGATTTAAGTGATGAGGTGGATGAAGACGATGATGAACAAGAAGAAGAGATGGCCATGCTCTTGAAAGAACTCAAGAGATTCATGATTTTCAAGGAAATGAAACATGAATCAACCAAGAAGAAGAGTCCCCCGGTTGCTTCAATTGTCAAAGAAAGGGACATGTCAATCATGAATGTCCTCCTCTAAATAAAAAGGGGTCAAGCAAGAATAAGGCAATTGTTGCATCTTCGAGTGATGAAGATGATTCCAATGATGAAGATGAAGTAGTCAACCTATGCCTCATGGCCACTCATGAAGAATTCGAGGTATCATATAACTCAAATGAATTTAATTCATTTACTTTTGATGAGTTGCAAGATTCTTATATTATGTTGTATTTGGGATTTAAGACCATGAATTCCAAATATATGAAATAATTTCAAAACTCAACATTGAAAATAAATGGATTTTGAAAGCAAGAGTTGATTTTGAAAATAAAAAAGAATTTAAACAAATGATTTAAAGATTTCAAAAATCAAAATAAATGATTTAGAAAAGGAAAATTTTGAGTTAGAAGTTAAGCTAGAAAGCTTAACAAAAGAAAAAGAATTAATTTTTTAAAAAAAATTATTATGTTTAAAAAGGGCAACACATTGCCATTATTATGGTCATAAGGAACATACTTTTTCTTTGAAAAAAGGAAAAAGTTTTAAAATTAGACAAGTATGGGTTCCTAAGGGAACAAGGAGCACTGAAACTAACGTCCAAGGATCCAAAGCAATTTGGATACCAAAATCCAAATAAATATCTATTGTAGGTGTGTGGGAGCAATGCTGATGAAAATGATGATATTCAAGATGCTATAGCCATACATGAAAATGGAATTGGTAACTTCTAAGCTTAATGCTTTTAATTTTGGTTATTTGGTTGCTCATTAAATTTTAATCATGCATGAATTTTTGTTTTAAATGATTATGCATTATTTTTTTAATCTCATGTATGTTAAAAAGGTTTTATGATGAACATATTATTGTTTTAATGAATTTTCAGAATTTTTAGTTCATCATAATAAAATTTTGGTCAAAATTGGTTTTAATACAAATCATATCTCTCTAATAATTGATATCAACTTTAAAAATACATTGATTTTAAATGAAAATTATACCTCTCTAACAATTGATATCAAAATTTTAAAATTTTATACCAAAATTTAAATGTTTATGCATTTACTTAGAATTGTATAAGATATCTCTCTAACAATTGATATCAAAAATTTTAAATGCATATCATTTTTAAAAAAAGCTTTATGCATATGCACTTAATTTCAAATATTTATATTGCATAAAGTATTTTAGACTTGGATAAATTGAATTTCATGTACTACTAACATGTTTGTTATTATTTGTTGAAATTCAATTTTGTTTAAGTGATAAGTTCTTAAAGCTAAATTTTGTTTGAAATGCATTTATTGATGGGAGCTTTGATTTTTCAAATGATTTTTTAAATGTCAAATTTACCACTTACTCTCCAAAGTTATTTTGAACTTTAAAGGATGAATTATTTTTGAAACCTTTTGAAAACTTTAAATAAATTCAATTCAAGTCCAAAAACATTTTGCCATAATTGTTATATCAAAACTTAGTTCAATAAAAAAAACTCAGTTTATTCCAGTTCAGTAGACTACTCGATGAATAAGTTTGCAGAGTTTTAGATAAAAGAAATAATGAGATTGCATGGAGTATCGATATCAATAGTTTTTTATCAAGATCCAAGGTTTACTTCAAGATTCTGGAAGTCTTTACACGAGTCATTGGGTACTCGATTGAACTTCAGTACAACTTTTCATCCACAAATATGTTAAGGGCATGTGTGATTGAATTTAAGGGATCATGGATATGTTTTTATCGTTGGCTGAATTCGCGTATAATAATAGTTATCAATAAAGTATTAAGATGGCCCTGTATGAAGCTCTGTATGGGAGAAAGTGTATAACACCATAAAATTGGTTTGAACTGAAAGATCGAGACCTGGTCGGACCGGATTTGATGAAAGATAAGGAGGATAAAGTGAAAAATATCTAGATCAATCTTAAGGTAGCCTCAGATTTCCAGAAATCCTATAAAATTTGAAAAAAATAAAGGAAATAGAATATCAAGTGGGAGACAGTATTTTTGAACGTATCGCCGTGGAAGAAGCTGTTACGTTTTAGGCAGAAAGGAAAGCTGAGTCTGATGTTCATTGGACCGTATGAAATATTAAAAAGGGTTGGACTAGTAGCTTATGAGTTAGCTTTACCTCCAGACATGGACAAGATTCACAATGTTTTCCATGTATCAATGCTTAAAAGATATAGATCAGATCCCTCACATGTTATCATTTATTAGGAAATAGAGATCCGACCAGATTTGACTTATAAGGAAGAACCTGTACGGATCTTGGCTAAGGAAACCAACGAATTGTGTAACAAAAGGATTCTGTTGGTTAAAGTTCTTAGGCAGTTTCCATATCTCTTTGGTTCATGTACTTCTTTAAATTCGAGGATGAATTTTAATAAGGGGGAGAATTATAATGGCCCAAATAGTGAATTAAGAACTTTATTGAAAGAATTTAAAAATTAGGAGGAACAATTCGATTAAAGGATAAAGATGAGAATGACTAGGATTAATGGTTTACAGTAAATTGTGACAATGGATTATTAAGAGGGCAGTTTGCATTTACAAGAAAATGAATTTAAAATTATTAGTTATTAAGGTATTAAATTTAAGGGGAAAAGGGAAAGTAATCACTAAAAAGCCATTTCCTTTTTATTCTTCTTTCACGTGGGTTAACTCTTCTCCATAGCTCCAAAGGTAAGCTTCAATTAAATCAGTTTTTCCTTTTGATTGTGCGTTGTTTTTTCAACCTTAAGTGATATAGAAGCTTAAGGAAGTATAAAATGAGATTAAAGCCATGAAATGGAAAAAATATTGGAGATTTTAGAAAATGGGTTTTGAAATTATATGTTAGTATATTAGTGTTTATTGAGGTTTAATGGTAGATTTAACTTGCCAAAGTGGTAAATGAAATATTATAAGTATTAGATGGGATTAAGAACATATTAGAAAAAGTGGTTTGATTATTAGATTTGAATGTTCTTGAAAGATTTTAGATGTTATAAGAGGCTAAATGAACGAATATTAGTATGAATAGTTAAGGAATGGTTGAATAGTATGGTATGGGATAAATATAACGAAAATTGATCTTATTTTGTTGAAAATCAGGTTGAAAACTGGAAATTATGGGTAAGGGTATCGGTACTTCTAGAACAGTACCGATACTATAGGCTAAAATTGGATAAATTAGCTGAGTAGTATCGGTACTGATTCAATCAGTATCGATACTGATGAGGTAGTATCGGTACCATGGTGAGGGTATCGATACCAGGCCACATCGAATCTAATTTTGGTATCAATATCGGGTAAGGGGTATCGGTATCATAGTATAGTATTATCGATACCATGGTAAGGGTATCGATACCAGGAAGCATCAAACCTAATTTTGGTATCGATACCCGAAAGGGGTATCGATACTATAATATATAAGTATTAGTACCATGGTAGTAGTATCGATACTATGGAGTCAGCATTTTTAAAAATAGGTTGATATTGGAATTGAAAGTTATTGATATGTTATTTTGAGTACTGTTTAAGTATAATGGTTAGAAAATATTCTAACATTGATTATGGTGCATGTTTTTATGGATACTTGAGTAGATCGAAAACAAGCTCCCGAAATAAGTAAAACTAAGGGCAAAGGCAAAGTTTAGGAGTAATCATCCTTGCATTTTGGATATATAGCGAGGAATGTCAGATGAGTGCATTTATTTTGTACATTAAGAGTTATAAAGATATGTTGTTAAATATATATATAATGTATTTATATATCATTACTATGTGTACTACAGGCACTTTGTGTGCATATTCACGGAATTCATCAAGAGCTGATGAATCACCGTACAAGCACTTTGTGTGCATATTCA